TTAGCTCCAGCTATGGTGGTTCCTCCAAGGAGGTAGTGATGCGGGGTGAGGATGAGATCGGTTTGTAAAGCTGGTCGCCCTCCAGGAATGTGCCACTCTCTAGCGCGGCCAGCTGCGGCTCCTGCGATGCATGTTCACCTAGCAAAATACAACACTCAAGAGCATCGTCAGTACCCGCACTCGTTATAGTGAGTGCGGTCTCAAAATCAGCAAGCACATCAGAGTAATCTAAGTCATCATGCAAATGGGAGTGTTTCCCATTCTCAGACACAGAAAAAGTAGCATGTTCATATCCAGCACGCAGGATCAATTTACCACTATGCACATCAATAAGCGCCTTGCCGGTGGCGAGAAACGGTCTACCCAAAATCAAAGGTACATCCACATCCTCATTTATATCCAGAATAACAAAGTTAATAGGATATGTGAATGCACCTACATTAACAAGCAAATCCTCTATGATACACCTAGGATGCACAATGGAATGGTCAGCTAACTGAATGCTCATCCTAGTAGCTCTAGGTTCACCTAGGTCTAGCTTTTTAAACAACTTGTAGGGCATGACAATATACTAGCGCCTAGGTCCGCCAAGGACTTTCCTACATGTATGCTACCAATAACAAGAGGGATAGTAAAACTCCCTAGGTCTTTACGCTTCTCGGGCAGCTTGTTCTACACGATAGCAGAACACTCCTCGCTCAGCATCACTGTCGAAAGATCCCCAAGTTTCTTCTTGTTGGTGAGGAGATCTTTCATGAACTTGGCGTACTTGGGCATCTTCGATAGTGCCTCCACGAACGCCATGTTGATGTTGACCTGCTTCAACATTGACATGAACTTGGAAAACTCAGTCTCCATCTTGTCTTTGTGTAGGCGAGTGGGAAAGGAAAGCTGGGGTACATGCTCCTTAACCACCGGCTGTGGCTTGGGAGCAGGTGCTTCTTTTTCCATCCCCACTTCTGCGTCGTCAGCTTGAAGTGTTGAAGCAGGTAATGGCTTGCCCTGCATGGTCTGGGCAGGAGTAGTAGATGTGGTCTTGCCACTCCTGGTAGTGATGGCATCCAGCTGCTAGTGAGGCTCACGAGGATTTGGAATGGTGAGGGCAGGCAAAGCCCCCGGTGCTCTGGTAGTATTTTGGCGAGCTATGCCACTAATCTGATTCTGTAGATCTTGCAAAATAGCATCTTGGTTCCTCTGGCCTGCCTCCAGTGAGGCTATATTCTTGTCCATTCTCATGAAATTCGCCTGTTTGGTGGTCATGATTGCCTGCAAAATATTTTTCAGCTCCATCATCTGATTATCTGGAGCTGCAGCTGCTGGTGGTTGGGCATACTGACGCTGGGGCTGCTGGTTGCCCCTGCCTAGGCTGGTAGGGCTAATACTGTGGCGCTGGCCTTGTCTGGCCTGGAAGGGTTGCCGCTGCTGAAAACCACCTGCTGGTGCTGGGAAACCAGGTTGTTTAGTGCTGTTGCTGGTGTTCCATGAGAAGTTGGGATGTTGGCGCCAACCTTCATTATAGGTACCACTGTAAGGATCGAGGCGCCGAGCATTGGCGATGAAGTCCAACTGCTCCTGAGGTGTAAAAGACTCCCGCATAGCCTGGCAGTCTTCCACTAGATGGTTCGACCTCTCACACCACTGACATTGAGCTACTGGAGGTCCAGTCAAACCTCTGCCCGGAATAAGGCTGTTGGGCTGCTTCAATGTCTGCACTAACTCGGCCACCTCCCGCTCTAGCCCGGACCTGGCCTCCATGGCGTGCACACCACGATCCCGGGAATTCCTGCCTCTAGTGCTCTGCCCCCAGAAATGGTCTCTAGAAGCCAAGGTACTGATCATCTGGTTCGGTTCGGGTGGAGTCTTAGTGAGAATATCCCCTCCTGGGCATAGAGACTCAATCACCCTCTAGCTTTCCGGAGAGAGAGCACTATAGAAGTTCCCCATGGTGAATGCATCACTGAAGCCATGATGGGGACACTGCCAGAAGAATCCCGAGTACCGCTCCCATGCATCACGAAGTGACTCATCTGGATCTTGGCGGAAGTGAGTGATCTCCCGCTGGATCTCTGTGGTCTTCGATGTCGGATAGTACCTATGCACGAACTTGTTGGCCAGATCGTCCCAAGAAGTAATGGACAATGGGGGTTGGGTCTCCAACCACCTCTTTGCATGCCCTGCCAGAGAATGGGGGAAGTGGTGAAGGCGGATCGCATCATCGGGTACACCATTCATCTTGAACCCGTTCGTCAGCTGCAGGAACCGAGAAAGATGCACCCTTGCCTCCTCATCCTTCAAGCCATGAAACTGGATAGAGGATGTAATCAATTGAATCCAGCATCGCTTGATCTCGAAGTTGTTCGCTGGAATGGGCGGATAGAGGATGACAGGGCGGATATCAGCAACCCGTGGAGTGTAGTAGTACTCCAAGGTGGGACCCGGCGGCGGTGGTTGATGATGAACCCCATCTGCCTGGGGTATTGGGTTGTGCTCTAGGATTTGGTTTACCGGGGGAACCTAGAGAGGTATCCCCTGGGGCGGGTTATGTTCACCTTCCATCTCGTACTCGTCCTCGAAATCGCTGCTCAAATGGCCGTCTATGCGCTCCTCCGTAGCCAGTCTAGCTCTCTGTTGTCTCCTAAGTTGACGATAGGTGCGTTCAAGCTCCAGATCCAATGGCAGTAAACCTCCTGACTGGCTACGGGTCATGCACTACCTGCACACAGTCAAGCAACAAACCCGTGAAGGCACAAGTGTGACAAAGCGAACAAACAATGCTTAAAAGAAAAGCTAAATTAATAGAAACCACGTTTCTTCAACAACCTAGCCGTCCCCGGCAACGGCTCCAAAAACATGACTCGCTCCTACCATCACTCTAGAAAATGGCCAAGTGTAACCACCTCCTAAAGCGTAGTATAGCGGGTTTGGGTTTTAATGTCAACCCGGGTCCAAAGTGTGATGACAACTCCGTGAGTTCTTATTATTTAGCAGTGAAAGTGTAGTGAAGGTCCAAAAAGGCAAAGCAGTTAAAGGTTGTTTTCAAGTTGAGAGAGGTCACCCGGATATGGTTCCCCCTAGACTGCAGTTAAGCCAGATTGCAATTTACCAAGTTCAAGTTCAATGATAGTTATACTGCGGGAGGTTCTTAAACAGTTTGCAGTCTCGACTAAAGGTCTGCAGACCCTCTCAATCTGAGTCCCCAGCGGGCGACTAACCTCCACCGGAGTAAACAGATTAAGACCCTAACGAACCAAACCTCCACTACCGAAGTGAATTCGGTACAGAATAGTGAATTGACTCCTCGACTAAAGTCGCTAATTCACTACCTTCAATCAAGGGCGCTCTATCAACCTAGGCAGATATTCTCTTTCTAGGTTAAAGCAGAAACAACAGGAATTTGATCAGGATTCATGCCATTCAACAAACCAAACCTCAATTGAACATAATCATACCACTGAATCTGTACTTGGGTTCATACAATCAGACCTAACATACAAATCTAGGGTTCTTCATACCCAGGTGAATAAGAAAGATACTCCATAGAGAGAGATGGGAAATCTAGCTCAGATGCGGAAACCATACAGTGAAGTATGAGAATCTGCTTCTGGCACTCAATCAGCTCTTCTCCAAGCTCAAGTATGGCTCCAATGGTGGTGGAGATCGATCTAAGACACTTGCAGAATCAGGTTCGTCACTTTCTCTCTCTAGGTATACGATTTGTCTCTCTAAAACTGGGAACCCATCACTTTTGCCCTTCTTTTCCCTTAAGAAGTTGTCAATCGCGATCCCCGGTCTGAATACCCGGTCTGGTATTTTAGGTGGAGACCGGGGATTGTTGAAACGCACCGTCGGGGACAGGGGGTTAATGCCCGGTCAAGGTCAAGAATACCCGACCAGGGATTTATGCTTAATGCCCGGGCCCCCTTCTGCTTCTCAAACGCCCAAAAGAGATTTTCCCCGGTCTGCTCCGATTAATACCCGGCCGGGTATTTCTGCTCATGGCCGGGTATTTTGCTCCTCCAGAACACTTCAACTCAAACGTGCCCCTTTTGACCCGAAACTCGTTTCTTCGCCTCAATGCCAACGCCAGGCCCTGAAATATGACATAAACACACAATCTAGCGTGAAATCGGCTTAAAACACGAGAATCAACATCTCAAAAGGCTCAAGAATAGGTGTAAAAACATGTGCAATTAACGGTCTATCACAATGGCCCACATGCCAATGTATTCGAGATACCTCAAGGGGTGTCTCTCCAAGAAGCCAAAGTTCGAAGACCTCGCCAATGTCACCCTAGGCGAGGATTTCTCAGCCTTCATCCTCAACAGGTTGCCCACGAAGCAACCCGATCCAGGTAGTTTCACTAAACCTCTTTGCATTGATTCTCATCACATAGAAAATTCCGTGGAGGACTTAGGGGCGAGCATAAATGTGATGCCATATCAGCTTTTTAAGAGGCTAGACTGTAACATCCCGTTTCGTCTAAAATCGTATTTCGATCGCTAGAAAGTTCGCGATTTAAAATCGAGCATTTCGACACTATTTCGACGAAAATCGGATTATCGATCGATCGGATAAGTATACGTATTAATTATATATAATATATATATATATTTATTTATTTATTTATTTAATTACACTAAGCGGCCATATATAAGTTCCGTCCATTTCCATCCCATCACATTCCAATTCTTCTTCTTTCTATTTCGGCCGAGAGAAACCGAGAGTACAGGGAGCGCAGGGGAGACAGAGCAGGAAATTCTCCGAGCTCCAATCTTGAGAAATACTGATCCAAAAATCCCGTAAGTAATGCCTAATTCATCCGTTCATCGTGATTTATCGATTTAGAGCTTTAAAACGAGTTTTTGGTTCAGGAATTTCTTGAATTCCCGATAAGCCAAATTAGGGTTTCGGAGTATCCGGAAGCCGGATTGAGCCCAAATTTCATATACGAGGTTCCTGCAGCGAGGTAATCAATCCTCTAGTTCTAATCCCTGAATTTTGGCTATTATTTAGGTCGGGGTCCAAACCGCTGAATTTAGCTCCGGCCAGGGTTTGATGTGTTTTTATCAAGAATTTGACCCGGAGCCTAGAACTAATATTGACGGGGATACTGCAGGGGATATTAGGACGGTCTCGGATTTTAATTCGGGGTTCGTTCGTGAAATCGACGTTTTAGTACGGGAAGGTTAAACCGGTGTTTGAACGACCAGAACCGGTGAGGGATTAGCACGGCATACCGGGTTTGTCGTATCACGATAATTATATTGATGCTTAGAATTGACCTAGGTGAACTAGAATGGCATGATTAGGGGTGTATGGACTTTTGTGCTATATGATGAACCCTGGACTGCTATATGATATTATTGACTTGCCCTAATCGATATGGACCTGGCTTATGCTGATGATTGTGTATATGTTGCAAATTGTGGGCTTGACTGTTGATATGCCTTATGATGGTTCGAAAAGGTGATAGGGTATGATTGTTCATGATTGTTGTATTTGGATGCACATGTGGGAAAATATATATTCTCTGGTGATATTGTGATGTTTAAGGAGGATGACTTGCACGAGGGTTTATCCCGAGGAAGTGCAATTATACGACTCCTGATTTACCTATGTTGAGCCAATTGTGGCCGGGTCAAGTACATGTGTAAGTAACGAATTATGATTAAGCAAGATGAGATATGGATCATGTATAAGGACATCAAGTAAGAGTGATTTGGTCTCATGGTCAATTACATAGTAATTAGGGCTCCCCATGCTATTACTCCGTTATGATATGTTATGTCACACCCCTGATGTGGTGTTGACCGTTGATTCATCATGAGATATGACCACACCCAGAGTGGTGTTGAGTCCGATATGACCACACCCATCGTGGTGTCAGGTCCGATATGACTACACCGGCAGTGGTGGGTCCGATATGACCACATCCACGAGATGTTTGGTCCGTATTCCCGGGAGAGTAATTAGCATGGGAGTAGCCAGGCGCCTATAAGTAAAACATGATAAGACGCATATGCATAAGTCAAGGTGGTTGAGTCTTTTGCCTATTGGGATGTCGGATGGCTGAGGGCTGATCCTAGTGCTTTGGCTTGTTTGCTAGATGTATGGTAGGGGTATGCTCTGTTATGAACTCACGATGCTATGATTATCTCACTCAGCTATGAGCTGGCCCTCTTTTATCCTTTTTCTCTGCTTATGCCATGTGTAAGCAGATCATCATCAGCAGCAGCAGTAGATAGGTGTATAGGTGGGAGCTGAGCAAGAGTTGAAGGCAAGATGAGGTATGGTCTTCAACTATTCTATGCTTGGACTACTACTCGGGATTTTGGCCAGTGATCCACACCTTTTTGTAAAATGTTTTGAGAACGTTTTTCATGTGCATACTAGCTTCAGATGTAGTGTGAGATATCCACAGGTGTGGAAAGTTGATGATATGTGTATATTTGTGTAATTATGTAAGTTGTGACGATTATGACATGTATAAATATAGTATGCAGATGTGTAACATGAAACTGTGACTATGGCTATGAAAAGCCAATGCATATGGAAGTGAGTGTATATGCTTGTCTATGAATGCACAGGATTTTAGATGAATTATTTTGCAGGATTAGATGGAAGAACTGTTAGCCCATTACGCGAGTAATTCATGTCGAAATTTTATTTGGGTAAATTTTGATAATTAGTGTAACACCCGAGATTAATTCCGTTGCAATTGTATGAACATATGATTAGGCAAAACGTATAGGGTAGGGTGTTACAGGTTTGGTATCAGAGCCCGGTTCCCTCTTTTTGCTGTTATGGCGTACTATACCCTAAGGGAGGTTAAACACTCCTAAGGAGGGGAGTACCCCATAATAACTTAAACTGGGAATTAAGTTTGACATGATTATGTGTATTGGTATGTTGGATGAAATTACCTGCATCATGGTTTTCAAAATTGAGTTTTGAACTTATTTGTTTTCAAGTAATTATTTTGGGAAAATTTTGATTTAACTAAGAGAGAGATTTGGTGAAGAATGAATTTTGTGTGGATCATTCTAAGGCCAATATTTCCTTGTAGCTCGCACGGAAGTTGTCATAATGTTCCTACTGATCAGTCGAGAGGAGTGGGGGCGGTTGATGCAAGACCGCCAGTATTAGACTATGGAAAGATGAAGAGTTTGGGTGGTAGGGACTTTAAAGAAGATGTGAGTCCGGATGCTGTGGTAGAGTGGTTGAGGGAGATGGAAGATGTGTTTGAGTATCTTTATGCAACCCCAGAGGAAAAAGTGCAATATGTTGTTTTTCTCCTAAAGGGGTACGCGAGGAGCTGGTGGTCCTCAATCTCTAGAGTTAATGGTGAACGAGTTCAGTTCACCTGGGAGGAGTTCCTGAAGGCCTTTAAGACAGAGTTTCTTCCCGAAGCTTTTATCAGGGCAAAGAACAATGAATTCGCCAACCTTAAGCAGGAGAATATGACAGTTACTGAGTACACCATCAAGTTTGTTCGACTACTCTACTTTGAAGATGGGTTGGCGGATACTGAGCATAAGAAGAAGATGAGATACTTGCATGGTCTGCGCATAGGATTCAAAGAAAAGATCCACAGGGTTGATGAAGAGAGTATCGGCCACAATCAAGGAGGCAGCACTTAAGTATGAAGCATATGAAGTTGAGAGCCGAGAGGAACACAAAACCAAAGAAGAGGAGAAGAAGAGGAAATTTGGAGTAAATTATGTTGGACCTCGTTACCCACCCAGGAGAGGTCCTAGCAGTTTTGGGAGAACACAGAGTCAATCTATCTCGGGAACATCATACAGGGCACCAGTTTCCTCTGCCACACAAGCTCAAGTTTGTCAAGTTTGTCAGAAGAGACACTTTGGGGAGTGTTGGAGGTTTTCTGGAGTATGCTTTCAATGCGGCCAGCCGGGTCACATCATGAGGAGCTATCCTTATAGGGGAGGTGGAAGACCTACTCAGTCTGAACCTTCAGTGCAATTTAGTAGAGCCCCAACTAGAGGTGGTTATCAGGGAGGCCGTAGTGGATTTCAGAGTGGTCGTGGTGGTTCACAAGGTGGTAGAGGTGGTGGTCGAAATCAGCCATCAGGAAGTGGTACGCAGGGTACCAGAGCACCGGGAGCACCGAGGGTTTATGCAATGACTCGAGGTGAGGCAGAAGTGGCACCAGAAGTTGTGACTGGTATGCTTTCTATCCTTGGCAAGCAATTATATGCTTTGATCGATACTGGTTCTTCTCACTCATTCATGTCATATACGTTTGCACATATGCTACGCTTAGTTCCAGATAAGCTAGGTTATACCTTATGTGTTAAAACACCTGTGGGAGATACCTTGAAGGTAGACTCAGTTATTAGAAGTTCCTTCATTTGTGTGGAAGGAGCTTTCCTAGCAGCAGATTTAATTCTGCTACCTTTTGATGAATTTGATGTCATCCTTGGAATGGACTTTCTGGCAACACATGGAGCTGTTGTGGATTGTAAAAAGAAAGAAGTGTTATTCAATACACCAGATAAAGGTCCTGTTGTATTCCGAGGCATTAAGAAAAAGGAGAATCATGGTTTTCTTTCTGCCTTGGAAGCTTTTCGATTAATGAAGGAAGGTTGTGAAGCCTTTCTTGCTCAAGTTACTGTTGTAAATGATAAGAAGGTTGAGGATGTAGAGGTGGTAAGGGAGTTTCCTGATGTATTCCCCGAAGAACTTCCCGGCCTTCCACCAGAAAGGGAAGTAGAGTTTGATATTGAATTGGTACCTGGCACAACACCAATTTCAATGGCACCATATAGAATGGCACCAATTGAGCTGAAGGAGCTTAAAGAACAATTACAAGAATTGCTAGACAAGGGGTTTATTCGACCTAGCATCTCACCTTGGGGTGCACCGGTTTTGTTTGTCAAGAATAAAGATGGATCCATGAGAATGTGCATTGACTACCGGAGGTTGAATAAAGCAACAGTGAAGAATCCTTATCCCCTCCCAAGAATAGACGACTTGTTTGATCAATTGCAGGGTGCATCAGTCTTTTCTAAGATTGATTTGAGGTCCGGGTACCATCAATTGAAAGTGGCAGATGGAGCAACCTCAAAGACAGCTTTTAGAACAAGATATGGGCATTATGAGTTCCTGGTAATGCCTTTTGGACTCACTAATGCACCAGCAGTATTTATGGCACTTATGAACAGGGTTTTCCATGAATATCTTGATAAGTTTGTAATTGTGTTCATAGATGATATTCTCATCTATTCCAAAAGCGAGGAGGAGCACAAAACTCACCTTAGAATTGTGTTGCAAATTCTAAGGGAGAAACAATTATATGCAAAATTCTCAAAATGTGAGTTTTGGCTGAAGGAGGTAATATTTTTGGGACATGTAATTTCTGGTAGAGGAGTGGAGGTGGATCCGAAAAAGGTGGAAGCAGTGGTGAGTTGGGCTCCACCAAAAGATGTGTCTGAGTTGAGAAGTTTTCTTGGCATGGCGGGTTACTATCGGCGGTTTGTAGAAGGATTTTCCAAAATTGATGCCCCATTGACTAAACTGTTGAGGAAGAATACCAAGTATGTTTGGGATGAATCATGTCAAAAGAGTTTTGATGAGCTGAAGAAGAGATTGACCACAGCACCAGTACTTGCTCTACCTTCAAGCCAGGGAGAGTTTGTGGTGTATAGTGATGCCTCGTATCAAGGATTGGGCTGTGTGTTAATGCAAGATGGAAGAGTTATTGCATATGCCTCTAGGCAATTGCGTCCTCATGAAGTAAATTATCCCACTCATGATTTGGAGTTGGCAGCGGTGGTATTTGCTCTCAAGATTTGGCGACATTATTTGTATGGTGAGACTTTTAAAATCCTAACTGATCACAAAAGCTTGAAGTATATTATGGATCAGAAGGATTTAAATAGTCGCCAGAGGAGATGGATAGAGTTGTTGAAAGATTATGATTGTACCATTGATTACCATCCAGGCAAAGCTAATGTAGTTGCTGATGCTCTGAGCAGAAAAGGCAAGAAGAATATAACGGATCTGGTTGATTTGAGGGCAATGAATGTTGATTTGGAAGTGGATGGTGTAACAAGGTTACTAGCTCGGTTGAACATTCGACCTTTGTTGCACGACAAGATTCGTGAGAAGCAGAAGGAGGACCCAGAGTTGGCAAAAATTATTCAAGACATTGAGGAAGGAAAAGAAAGCCCATTTGAAATGGTAGATGGCATGTTGAATATTAATGGAAGGGCATGCGTTCCTAACGTTGATAATTTGAGGAAAGAGATCCTAGATGAAGCTCATTCTTCTGCTTATGCTATGCACCCAGGAGCAACTAAAATGTATCACACGATCAAACCATATTTTTGGTGGCGTGGGATGAAAAAGGAAGCGGCTGAACATGTTTTCACATGTCTGGTATGTCAGAAAGTTAAGGCAGAACATCAAGCTCCTGTAGGGAAACTGCAACCACTTCCAATTCCAGAATGGAAGTGGGAAAGAATCACAATGGATTTTGTATATGGTCTCCCATCATCAAGGGGAAAAGATGCAGTATGGGTTATTGTGGACCGACTGACCAAATCGGCTCACTTTTTACCCATTAGATGGAAACCATCACTGGAGACTTTGTCTCAACTATATATTAAGGAGATCGTCAGATTGCATAGTGTGCCAATTTCTATTGTCTCTGATCGAGACCCGAGCTTCACATCTCGGTTTTGGCAAAGTTTACATGATGCCTTGGGAACTAAACTGCATTTTACTTCAGCTTATCATCCTCAAACAGATGGGCAGAGTGAACGAACCATCCTAACCTTGGAGGAATTACTTCGATCATGTGTAATGCAATGGGAAGAATCATGGATTGACCATTTGCCCTTAATTGAGTTTGCTTACAACAACCAGTACCATAGTAGCTTGGGTGTTCCACCATATGAAGCACTTTATGGGAGGAAGTGTAGAACACCATTATGTTGGGATTTGGTAAGAAAGAGAAACTTGCACCTCGGTATATTGGACCCTACGAAATCACAGAGAAGATTGAACCAGTGGCTTATAAACTGGCATTGCCTCCAGAACTATCTCAAATCCACAATGTATTTCATGTGAGCATGTTGAAGAGGTACAAAGTGGATCCTTCCCATGTTATACAACCAGAAGATATCGAGTTGGGTCCAGATTTGACATTTGAAGAGGTTTCAGTTGAGATTGTTGATTTCCAGATTAAGACTCTTCGCAGGAAAGAAATCCCAATGTTGAAAGTGGTGTGGAGAAATCAAGATAGTGAGAGTGCTACATGGGAAACTGAAGCAAGTATGCGAGAGAAGTACCCTGAGTTGGTAGCGACTTACTTTGCAGGTTAACAATCTTGCTTAGTAAGTTATGTTTTGAACTTGCTGATATGCTTTTGTTGTGATAGCCTAGTATAGGTTTTTGAAACCTAAACATGGGAACTTGAGTTGTTATGTGTTACTTTCTATGTTATGAATCTCCTAACCTAAGAGGTAGGTAATGGTTTATCTACGATAGACCATGTCAAGGGTAAGTAAGAGGAGTTAGAGTACGACTCAAGGTTAGATTTCGGGGAAGAAATCTTTTAAGGAGAGGAGAATTGTAACATCCCGTTTCGTCTAAAACCGTATTTCGATCGCTAGAAAGTTCGCGATTTAAAATCGAGCATTTCGACACTATTTCGACGAAAATCGGATTATCGATCGATTGGATAAGTATACGTATTAATTATATATAATATATATATATATATATATTTAATTACACTAAGCGGCCATATATAAGTTCCGTCCATTTCCATCCCATCACATTCCAATTCTTCTTCTTTCTATTTCGGCCGAGAGAAACCGAGAGTACAGGGCGCGCAGGGGAGACAGAGCAGGAAATTCTCCGAGCTCCAATCTTGAGAAATACTGATCCAAAAATCCCGTAAGTAATGCCTAATTCATCCGTTCATCGTGATTTATCGATTTAGAGCTTTAAAACGAGTTTTTGGTTCAGGAATTTCTTGAATTCCCGATAAGCCAAATTAGGGTTTCGGAGTATCCGGAAGCCGGATTGAGCCCAAATTTCATATACGAGGTTCCTGCAGCGAGGTAATCAATTCTCTAGTTCTAATCCCTGAATTTCGGCTATTATTTAGGCCGGGGTCCAAACCGCTGAATTTAGCTACGGCCAGGGTTTGATGTGTTTTTATCAAGAATTTGACCCGGAGCCTAGAACTAATATTGACGGGGATACTGCAGGGATATTAGGACGGTCTCGGATTTTAATTCGGGGTTCGTTCGTGAAATCGACGTTTTAGTACGGGAAGGTTAAACCGGTGTTTGAACGACCAGAACTGGTGAGGGATTAGCACGGCATACCGGGTTTGTCGTATCACGATAATTATATTGATGCTTAGAATTGACCTAGGTGAACTAGAATGGCATGATTAGGGGTGTATGGACTTTTGTGCTATATGATGAACCCTGGACTGCTATATGATATTATTGACTTGCCCTAATCGATATGGACCTGGCTTATGCTGATGATTGTGTATATGTTGCAAATTGTGGGCTTGACTGTTGATATGCCTTATGATGGTTCGAAAAGGTGATAGGGTATGATTGTTCATGATTGTTGTATTTGGATGCACATGTGGGAAAATATATATTCTCTGGTGATATTGTGATGTTTAAGGAGGATGACTTGCACGAGGGTTTATCCCGATGAAGTGCAATTATACGACTCCTGATTTACCTATGTTGAGCCAATTGTGGCCGGGTCAAGTACATGTGTAAGTAACGAATTATGATTAAGCAAGATGAGATATGGATCATGTATAAGGACATCAAGTAAGAGTGATTTGGTCTCATGGTCAATTACATAGTAATTAGGGCTCCCCATGCTATTACTCCGTTATGATATGTTATGTCACACCCCTGATGTGGTGTTGACCGTTGATTCATCATGAGATATGACCACACCCAGAGTGGTGTTGAGTCCGATATGACCACACCCATCGTGGTGTCAGGTCCGATATGACTACACCGGCAGTGGTGGGTCCGATATGACCACATCCACGAGATGTTTGGTCCGTATTCCCGGGAGAGTAATTAGCATGGGAGTAGCCAGGCGCCTATAAGTAAAACATGATAAGACGCATATGCATAAGTCAAGGTGGTTGAGTCTTTTGCCTATTGGGATGTCGGATGGCTGAGGGTTGATCCTAGTGCTTTGGCTTGTTTGCTAGATGTATGGTAGGGGTATGCTCTGTTATGAACTCACGATGCTATGATTATCTCACTCAGCTATGAGCTGACCCTCTTTTATCCTTTTTCTCTGCTTATGCCATGTGTAAGCAGATCATCATCAGCAGCAGCAGTAGATAGGTGTATAGGTGGGAGCTGAGCAAGAGTTGAAGGCAAGATGAGGTATGGTCTTCAACTATTCTATGCTTGGACTACTACTCGGGATTTTGGCCAGTGATCCACACCTTTTTGTAAAATGTTTTGAGAACGTTTTTCATGTGCATACTAGCTTCAGATGTAGTGTGAGATATCCACAGGTGTGGAAAGTTGATGATATGTGTATATTTGTGTAATTATGTAAGTTGTGACGATTATGACATGTATAAATATAGTATGCAGATGTGTAACATGAAACTGTGACTATGGCTATGAAAAGCCAATGCATATGGAAGTGAGTGTATATGCTTGTCTATGAATGCACGGATTTTAGATGAATTATTTTGCAGGATTAGATGGAAGAACTGTTAGCCCATTACGCGAGTAATTCATGTCGAAATTTTATTTGGGTAAATTTTGATAATTAGTGTAACACCCGAGATTAATTCCGTTGCAATTGTATGAACATATGATTAGGCAAAACGTATAGGGTAGGGTGTTACATAGACATAGGTGAACGATAGACTACGAGGCTTCGTGTCACATTTTTCGATCGCTCTGTCATTAGCCTTAGGAGCATAGTGGAGGACGTGCTAGTACGAGTGGGAAAATTTTGTTATCCGACGGATTTTGTGATCCTGGATATAAGTGAGGATTCTGAGATGCCACTCATACTAGGACGCTCTTTCCTAGCCACTACCAAGGCATTAATTGATGTAAATTAGGGAACTTTGATTTCTGAGAGATGGTGAGGAGAGAATTACTATAGGAATTGATCCTACGCCTAGGAGTGAGGAAGTGAAGGAAGTGGAATCGGGTGATATGAATGCAAGTGGAGGGAAGCCTTGCAAGGCGAACTCCACTATTACTATTAGTTCTTGTGATGATGTGAAGCAGGAAAGCAAGGAGGGCATCTCGCCCAAAGAAGGAAAGAAAGTAGCTTGGAGTGAAAGGATAAGTAGTGCTAATGCCTAGTGGAAGGAAAAGGGCAAAGCAAAAGTCATCGGCCAAGAAGGCCACCCCATGGAGAGTAAGTTGGGAGGTGACATGCCTCACCCTTAGATCGTGGCGGATCTACTCTCGACGGCATCACGTTCAAACGCTTGATAGATTCGCAACATCAAACTAGTGACGTTAACTTGGTGCTTGTTGGGAGGCAACCCAACGTAGCTTTGTTTTCTTTTCATTTTTTTCATTTTTATGTGTCGAGTGAAGAGTTCAAGTGGTCGAGTGGTATCGCCATGCCATGTTTTTGTGATTGCGTTGTTTCGAGTTGTGTCGTGATTGATAGTAGGCACAGTGGAATAGGTCGAGTAAAAATTTTCAAAAGTGCCCTATTTTCACTGATGTTCACGGACTGATTGCTCTTTTCACAGTCTTATAAGAACGTGAAAAGGCAAACGCGTCGGTGAACCAGGGTGCTTCCACGTGTGTCAAACCCATCGACTAATCTGATCCGTGAACTGCAGGGTCTGCCTATAAAAAGGCCATGAACGGTCGTCTTCACTGCACGACCCAAAATCTTGATAGAATTTTTCAAATCTTGCCGGAAAACCGCAAAAATCCGACAGTTTTGCTCTTTTCCCCATTTCCGGCGAGCCAATCCTAAAACGAAGCACAGACCCATTTCTTCCCTCATCAAAAGCGGCCTTTGCTGAGATTTTTGAAGGATTTGGGCCATCTTTCCGGTGAAGTCGCCGCCGGCGAGCCTCCGATGAGAGTCCGACGAAGCTCCGACGACCCTTCTCCGGTCTGTTTTTCGGCAAATTTTCACCTTCCTCGTCCTCACTTCACTTCCTCTTACATCCTACTTGAGTCTCCAGGTTGGTTTTCAGCTCTACCTTATTTAATTTGGAAGAATCGGATTAGGTAGTGAAGTGAGGAGAATTTTAGTGAGTTGAATGTTGAACTTAGAATTAGGGCGAGGAATTAGGTGAGTTAGGATGATAGAATAGAGCCTCTTAGGTTAAGGAGGGTTCTCTCTAAACTATTTTAGGAGGCATTGAATGCCCAAGTAAACCCAACTCAAATCGAGTCTCTTTGGATAAAGGAGGTTTCCTCTCTAAACTAGCCTAGGAGGCATGAAATGCCCAAGAACACCCATCTCAAATTGAGCCTGTTAACATAAGGAGGTTTCCTCTATAAACTAGTCTATGAGGCACGAAATGACAAAGAACACCCATCTCAAATTGAGCCTCTTAACCTAAGGAGGTCTCCTCTCTAAGCTATGTTAGAATGGGAATTAGATTGATAGGCTTTTACAAACACAATCATTTCTGAATAATACCTCCACATTCACATTAAAACACAACCACACACAAATCATTCAATTCATACAAGCATTCACATAGTTATTCACTTATCTAAAATCTATACTATATGTTGTACTTAACATATTTTAGCTATTTTAGAGGGTGCGTCAAAAACTTACGCTTTTACGCTTTGATTCTACGTTTTACGATTTTACCCATTTTCCGCTTCTAGGTATAATCGCGCTTTTAACTGCATTGATTGTAGCTAGGGTTTACAAACACACAAGTGAAAGAAGGGACTACTCCATGCTAGGAGAAGGGAAAACACAAGAGAGGGAAAGTGAAACCATCAAGAAGATGCAAGCCTTGTTCCTTGTGCTGAAGAAATCCTCCTTTGGGGGAGAAATTCCCAAAACCTTGCTTGGAGATGAAACCCTAGCTTTTCCTCTTCTTCGGTTCGTAACTTTCTCACTCTATAATCCGAAGAAGGAGAAGTTTCTCACATTAGGTCTCTCGCTCTTCTTCCTTTTAGACTAGCCTTTTAAGTTGAGATCGCGCCCAGTTCACGACCTGAGTTCACGACCGTGAACACGCGTCCGTGAACTCAGTGCTGAGACCAAAATGCACCGCTTCATTGGCTCGGGGTCACGGTCAGTGGCCTTTGCTCACTGTCTTAGCGACCGTGAACATCCTCGGCGTCAGTAACCTGCAAACTCTCTCTGGATGCTCCTTGATTCATGGGTTTTGGCTCCAGTTCACGGCCCTATGAGACCGTGAACTCCAACTTCAGGCCGTGAACATTGGCTGTCTCCACCTCCTTGCCCGGTCTTTGCTCCTTTTCTTCCACCTTTCGACTCCGAGTTTGGTTTTACCTGTTAGGATCTGAAGCACACTGAAACACAATCAATCTCGAGTAAAACCAACCTTTTTGGAGTTTAATTCCAACAAACGTCAAAGAGAATCGAGGATAAAAAGTCTACAATTAGGCCCGAATCACTAGCCCACACATAGACGTTTTGCTTGTCCCCAAGCAAACCATTTCACACAAGGTGATTATCAACCTATCAAAATTCTTTGGGGAAAGCTTTCTCCAGCCCCTTCTCATCAATGGACTCCTGCAAATCAAAGGGCACAAAGTGGCGAATCTCAATGGCTATTGCCAATTAACACATGACCGTTGCAAGCAATACCGACATCCACCACAAACGATATTCGGGGTCGCCAAAACGGGCAAACGAAAGTTATCACCTTGTTCATGAATCAATGCAAGTCTCAACAAGATCACTTATCAACCACAACTAACCTTGCATAACATTCAAGTCCAATGAACAAATGAATGGGCAACAAATGTCCTCACCGGGGTATGATATGACATGCAAAGCAAGAATGAATCACTCACTCTCTTGACCAGTGGGGTCGGGACCTTTTTGGCGCAAAGAATGTGTACAATCATCAACACTCGGTCCTATCGTCTCTTCACCACGACGGCAACCTCTAAATGTTAGAGTTCACGGGAATGTGCACAATCATCACTAGCTTGTCCGGAGGTCTTAGACACGGGTTCAAAGGACTGGCAATTGTCTTGGACATGGGGAAAAAGGCTTTTTGGGTGGTGGAAAACACACCATGAGGTCCTACATCTTCACCCTAAACCCGGAGGTTCTATGGTTTCGACTAAGAACCTTCCCAATAAACAATGGCCACTA